GGCGGGCGGGCAGGCAGGAGGATGGGCAGGGAGCTGGTGTCCCCGACTCGCGGGCAGAGAAGGGGCTGGGGTCGTTGGCCGCTCTGCGTCAGGGTTTGGTGATGGGCAGACCTCCATCCCTGGAGGCACCAGGGCACGTCTGCGTTGTGCTTGGGACCACCAGCCCCGTGCACAAAACCAGCCTGCTCTGGGGCATGCCCTAGTCCCACGGAGGAGCTGGTGGAGCCAGGCGATGTTCCTGTTCTCCAGGAGTTCCGGTGGAGATTGAAAGTTCCTCCACATTAAACCACCAACGTGGCACTTTGTCGGTGTCATTCCCTGGTTTGACAAACCAGGAGAAGGCGATGGGCTCCCTCGAAGGAGCCCGGGGCTCGTGGTCACGCGTGTGCTTCAGACACGCAGGGAGACCAGGAGCATCCTCTCCCGTCTGAGCCTGAAGGAGAAAAGCTCAGGAGTTCAATTAGCACACGAGCGCTGTGGGTTTTTCTTCTTTTGCCCTAAACTGAGTGATCGGGGAAAGATCAAGTAGCCGGAGAGTTTAGAAAGGATTTTCTTAATTTTACAAATGCTTCATGCCTGTTAAAAATCAAATTAATTTTTTAGTGAGTCTTGGCTGTTTTCCAGAGGTTTTTTTTAAGATCTCTAAAGAGCCGTATTTTGCTGCAGATAGACTAAATCCACTAATTAGATTTCTCAGCCTGAAGTGCTACTCAGAGCGTTCGCGCACAAGGGGAGATGTTTTCCCGTCAAACCGAGGCGTTTGCCTGAAATGGGCAAAATGGAGTAAGGAAGGAAGAGATGCTGGAAGTTTTGCCACTGCTTCTGTCCGTGCTGGGTAGCAATCGCTGAAGTTTGAACTGAGGCGGCAGGTTTGTGGCATCTTGCCTCGCTCCCGGCACCGGCAGGGTCTCAGGAGCCCGGGTGACAGGGGGGGACACGGCGGCAGCTCGGTGCTGCCCGTCGGTGTTCGGTCGTGCTGAAGCCGTGGGGCTCCAACCCCAGCTCAGGGCAGGGACCCCGGAGCTCTCTGGAGCTTCACTTGGTGTTTGGGCTGCAGGCCAGGAGCAGGAGGAGACAGTATGTTAGGGGGGGAAAAAAAAAAAAGTCATTTCCAGCCTGCGTATGTACTTGTATATAAAACTTGCTTAAGGGCCTCTGTCTGACTCGGGACCTTGCGCCGCTTTTGGGGAGATCCGAGGGTGGGAGGTTGCTTTGTGCCGGGTGCTGTGCATCTCCCACGTGCTTTTGAAATTCATTTGTGTTTCTCTTGCCCTCCCCGCCTGCCCCGTGCACCTCCTTTAACTGGCTCAGGCAGCGATCGCCAAAGTCCTGCACAACGAGGACAGGCACAGGATAAAAGCCTCGCCGTTTGTTGGGCTGGTGGTGGACGAGATGGTGGACGTCCTGGAGCACCGCAACCTCGCCATGTTCACCACCACCGTCTCCCCCTGCAACGGGCAGACCTCCGCCACCTTCCTGGGGAGCTTCGAGCTGCCCACCGGGGAGGCCTCCACGGTGGCGGGCAAGGTGGGCGAGGTGATGCGCTCCTTCGGCATCCCCACCATGAAGATCACCTGGCTCAGCGCCGACAGCGCCTCACTGGTGGCCGAGCGGCTGAGCGGGGTGGGGACCACGCTGACCTCCTTCTGCCCGCTCCTCACGGAAATGCACTGCCTGTCCCACGGGAGCTCCCTCCTGCCGGCGGAGAGCATTGTCAGCATCGAATACCTCCAGAGATACGAGACCACTGTGGATGCCGTGTACAGACTCTACTCCAGCTTCAGGGGGGAAAGCAGTGGCCTGCAGGAGCTGCGGACCGTCCTGGACCTCTGCGAGATAGACCTCGGGAGCCCCAAAGCCATCCACTGGACTTCTATCTTCCCAGCCGTGGAAGCCATCGATTCCTCATGGCCCACGCTGGTGCTGCTCTTGGAGAGTGAGGCGGAGCGGTCGCCTGTGGCCCATGGCCTCTGCGAAGAGCTCAAGAATTTCCAGTTTGTGGCCTTTACCAAGATCCTTCTGGATGTCCTTCCCATCTTCCAGAAGCTCAGCCGCTTCTTCCAGATTGAGGACTTTGACCTCTCCATCCTGAAGCCCATCGTCTCTGCCACAGCCACCACCTTGCAGGCCCAGAAGAGCGCTAGTGGCCAGAACCTCCAGGAGTTCCTCAACGAGATGAACGAGCACCCACGGGACGACCGGGAGGGTGAGAGCCGCTTGTACTACAAGGGTGTTGAGTTGGCCAACTGCTCCAAGGTGCATCTGAAGCACTTTGAACGCCTGAAGGAGAGCTACCTGGAGAGCGTGAGGGGCAACCTGCTGGACAGGTTCCCCAGCAGCGTCCTGGAGGCCATCAGCTCCTTCTCGGCCATCTTCAACCCCAAGTGCTACCCCCAGTCTTTGGAGGACATTGGCAGCTATGGGGTCAGCGAGCTGAATTTCCTCCTGCAGGCTTACTCCCGGGTGGTGGTGAGCGAGAGGGCCCTGAGCGATTTCCCCCTCTTCAAGCGGATCGTCTTCAGCCTCAGTCAGCTCTCCTTCAAGGACCTCTGCGTCAAGCTGGTCTACAGCAACTCTGAGATGCACGAGCTCTTCCCAGACTTTGCCGTCCTCGCGGCCATTGCCCTGGCCTTGCCGCTGGGCTCGGTCCTTGCCGAGAAGATCAGCCGGGGCCGGGAGCTGCTGAAGCGCGGCCGGTCGTCCCGCACGAAGGACGAGGGGCTCTCCGACCTCATGAAGATCGCCATTGACGGGCCGGCCATCAACGAGTTTGACTTTGCGTTGGCCATCGAGTACTACGAGAGCATGAGGGAGTCCAGCTTCATCGTGGCGCAGGTGAAATGAGACAGCCGGGGAAGGCAGAGCCCGGCGGGCAGGGAGCCGGGTCCTGCGGGCAGCCCCAAGCGCCGGCTCGATGCCGCGTTTCCCCATCGCTGGTCACCGCCGGGGCCACACGGCCGCCGGTGGACGGTGACCTGCTCCATGCTGGGAAGAGGAAACGGGTTCCTTCACAGAGCCATGCCGATGCCACG